TGCACTCCCCACCAGGTACAATATTCTGATTGTTTGCATCTTGTTTTTAAGCCCATAAATAATAATGTACTTGTTCTAATAAATTTATATTGTAATGTACTCATTGTAATATATTTAAAAAATCATTTACATTGCTGGTAGGTTATTGCACAAATTAACACACTCTCTACAATAAAAAAAAAAATCAGAAGTTCTAAACTAACGCGCTGTCTTCACTGTATCTCTCACACACACTCTCAAGGCTGATTTAAGGCTGATTTATACTACGAGTTCAAAGCGACTCTAGCCGAAGATGCACGTCTGTGCCCAGCATTTGTGTGAAACTGAAGCAGTTTGATGTTAAGTGCAGTCAGTCACACACTGAACAGATCACGCTGCGGCCGAACTCAGACATACTAGTGGTGACTAGAGAGGATAAATGCTGAGGTTCTGCAGCTGTGAGCACATGACCTGCGCTTGCTGTTTTGAACTTCCTGTCCGACACTCCGCCCACTCAGCACTCTCATACTAGAATAATACCACTTAATCAGAGAGCAACATCTGGAAATTACTCTGATAATCAGGCCAGGGGAAATCAAACTGTAGATGTTTTTTTTCCACGGCCCCTTTTTCGTTAGCTTACGGGGCTAATGACAACACTGTCACTCCCAATCACTTCAGCCGTGCTCCGCCGTCCATTACTCAAACGTTATGACAGCTCTAATGACTTCCACCTGCTCCGTCCGCTGGCTGCGTCCCAGCACGAGTCCCGCCGCACACAAAGGCCTCTATCAGGCCGCTCTTACCTCTGTGAGCTCACTCCAGCATTAAATGAGTTCCAGCCCCCCCGCCGGCTGTGCTCACCCGTCTAGCATGCTCATGGTGCTGGAGGTGACGTCTGCATACAGGACAGTCCGTCCGAGCCGCTGCGTCTGCAGGTGCTGTCTGTACATCTGCAGGCTGAAGTGCTCAGAGAAACTCTGGGGCGGCTCGGTGTGTAACACTTGCTCACCCTCACACAGATCCGGAGGCTCGTCTCCAGCCCACACCACCTTCAGCACTCCAGCCGCACTCCGCAGAACTCCACCCGAACCACCCGCCTGTTCCTGTAGCCAGCGCAGAAAGCTGCCCGTCTGCTCCTGCGGGACACACAGACACAGACACACACACGCACACAGACACGCACAGACACACACAGACACGCACAGACACACACAGACACACACACACACAGACACACACAGACACACACACACACAG